AAAAGACCCTGATGCTGGGAAAGATTGAGGGCAGGAGGAGAAGGGGACGACAGAGGATGAGATGGTTGGATGGCATCACCGACTCAAAGGACATGAGTTTGGGTAAACTCTGGGAGTTGGTGATGGACAGGGAGGCCTGGTGTGCTGCAGTCCATGGGGTTGCAAAGAGTCAGACACGATTGAGTGACTGAACTGAACTGACTGAAGCATAGTCACCTCCTCAAGGTGGTGCTAGTGGTAAAAGAACTTGCCTGCCAATGCAGGAGATGGAAGAGAGGTGGGTTTGACCCCTGGGTCAGGAAGGAGGAGGAAATGGCAACCCATTCCAGTATTCTTGTCCTGAAAATCCCATGGCCAGAGGAGCCTGGAGGGCTGCAGTCCCTGGGGTTGCAAAGAGTCAGACACGACTGCGCAGAGCAGCACAAGGGTTTTGGATAATATCCTAAGCTATAGCCTGTGAGCTGTCTTATAGATACCCAAAGCCCCAGCAAGTGGAGAAGTTAACGACGTGATGAGGAGACTGTAGCTGTGACATAAAGTGTGACACAATTCCAAGAGCTGGCCTCCAAGAAATGCTAACTAACTGACCCTGGAACTGAAGATTAACTGTACTTAAAACAATCACAATGATGCTTGGTCAGACCACCGATGACCAGTTTCAAGATGACTGTTGGAGCTGACTGTGCTGATTCTGCATGTAGACCCCTCCGTCTGCTGTAAAGGCTCTTGCCCCTTAATTGTTAGTGGGGGAAGTTGGCCTTTGGACACGAGTGCCCCGCTTCCACCCCCATCCTGAGTTGCTGGCATCTGAAATTAAGCAAACTTTCCTGGCTTAATCAACCTGGCTTTTCTATTGGCTTTTGAGCGGAAAGCATCAGACCCCAGTTTCAGTAACACTTCTACAGCTTGAAATCTGGGATAAGGTTGGAAAGACTCCCTCAGCTGCCCCAGAAATGCAGTGTGAGCAAAAACAACTTCTGTGGTTGAAAACTACTGTGGTCACTCCCCCAACATTCTATTTGGAAATATTTGAGAGTAAAGCTGAAAGAGCGGGACCATCAACACCTCACTTAACCTCACCAGTTGGTTGCATTTTGCTCCCACATTTGTTTAATTGCTCTTTCCCCCTTGATGTTTGCTGGACCGTTTGAGAGTAACTAACCAGCGTTAAGGATGCTGCACTCCTAAATAGTTCAACATTATATCCCAAGAAAATGGTCTTTCTCCTCTATCAGTACAATGATCATATCCACAAATATGACATTGATACAAGAATATTATTTAGCATACAGTTCATATTCAAATTGCTTTCATAATCATATCCTTTGTACATTTTTTTCCTTTCTGATCCAGGATCCAAGCAAGGATCAAACAGGTATTAGTTGCATGTCTCTCTCCTCTCCTTTAATTAAAACAGGTCCTTGACCTTTTTTGGTCCCTCCTCCATGAAACTGGCTTATATACATTTTAAAATTAATTTTTATTGGGGTATAGTTGCTCTACAGGGTTTTGTTAGCTCCCACCGTACAGCAAAGTGCCTCAGCTCTACATATACACATGTCCCTTCTCTTTCTCCCCATGTAGTCACCACACAGCATTGAGCAGAGTTCCTTGAGCCACACAGTAGGTTCTCTAGTTATCTTTCACACAGGGTATTGAAACTGTTATTTTTGAAGAGTTCAAGCCAGCTGCTTTAAAAAATGTATCACTTTTTGAACATATCTGATTTTTCTTCCTCTTAATTCTCTAGATTCAGGGTCAACATTTACAGTAGGAATACTTCATCGGTGATGTGGTTTATTTCACAACTGGGAGCACAGACAATGTTAGATTGCCTCAATTTGTGTGACGACAGGTTTGACTATTATGTTAAGGTGGTATCCACTGGGTTTCTCCATTGAAAAGTTTCCTTTATCCATTTATATTTTGTGGGTAATCTATGGGGCAATATTTGTATCTTGATCCTCGACAAGCTTTCCCCATTGCCTTTGGCATCCATGGATGATCCCTTCTGGAACGAATCACTGCACTGCTGCTTGTGGGATGGCTGATCTCCCCCAGGTCTGTTATTCCTACTCCGGCATTTTTTTTGTAAAGAAAACATCTTCTCCACTCTCTGCTCCCATTTATCTTTGAGTATCACCACAGGTTCATGGATTTCTAACACATACAACATTATAATCCTTCATCATTTTTCTTTCTGTTATTTAAACTATCCTAAATTTGTACAATGAGAGCCCCCATTCAAACTGAATCCTGTGTTCTCAATTAGGATAAAGACATATTTGGGGGGATTCTTGACCAAAGATTCATCTCAGGTAGGTCTCTCAAGTTCTCTAAAACTGCACCCCCTCTCTTAGAAAGTGAAGATTATTATGGTTTTTGTGTGAGTCAGTTGTGACTGATTAATTGGTGCGTACAACATGCCTTGCAATAGGTTGAGTATTTGTTGGACATTATCATCACCAACACCCTTCCAACCAAATTAATTATCTATGATACTTGTGACTTCCAATTACTGCTTCCAATGCAATTTATGATGAAATTTGCTTAAATTTACATTCTGAAGCTTTAAGTATTGCTCTTCTGAAGGCAACTAGATGGGGTTAAATGGGGACAAACTCTAGTGAAACAGTTTCACTAGAAAGCCAGCTTTACTAGTGAAACAAAGATTGCCAAGATTTAAGGAGGAAGCAAAGAATACACCTCCCCCATACATACACATCACACATATATATTGACATATGTATATTTCGTGCTTTGAAATAGAATCTTAAGTGAATAAACCTCGGACAGGGTATAAATTCAAGGTAGGACACTTATACTTCTCCTTTAAAAACTGAAGATAATTACCCTGTGCAATTGTGAATGTAAAATTTGGGCCAAGGAGACAGATCTGTCAAGGAACAGAGCAATTTTTTTCTTCCAGATTTTATAGCTAATGTACAACACTGTTTAAGGCATACAGCATAGTGATTCAATATATGTATATATGTAATGCAAAATGATTACCACAATGTTTAGTTAACATCCATCACCTCATAGTTTCAAAAACATAACAGTCGTCCCTTGTGATGAGGACTTTAAGAACTTTCTCTTTGGAAACTTTCAAATACACCATATAGCACTGTTGATTACAGACATCATGTACATTACATCCCCAGTACCTACTTATCTTACAACTTTGTACCTTGTGACCCCCGCCCAATTTCCCCCACCGGAGGCAGCCTGACGGAGCCATCTGTTCCTTAGTCAGTACCGCCATCTGGTGGTGGTATGTTTCAATAGCAAGTCAAGGAGCAGATGTGGAAAATGCGTGGCCTGAATTTCTTAGCGAAGTCAGTGCTGGTCGCTCAGTCGCTCTTTGCAACTACATGGACTAAAGTCCACCAGGCTCTTCGGTCCATGGAATTCTCCAGGCAAGACGATGCAGCGGGTTGTTAACTTACACGATTTAAATAAAGCCGTAGCAGTGAACAGCTTTGAGTAACAGTATTTCCATACTCCACCCCTGGAAGGCTTACTTCAATAGCAGCAACATCCTAGTGCGAGAAAGGAATCGGACACCACGCTGAACGCAAGCGCACTCATCCATTCAGCAAATATACATTGAGCACCCATTGTGGGCCACCCAGCATTCTGGGCGCTTAGGGTTCACCAATGAACAGGAGACAGAAATTCCACCCTTTAACATGGGTTCCTTTTACCATGCTCGCTATATAGTATGGGAGAAGGAAATGGCAACCCACTCCAGTGTTCTTGCCTGGAGAATCCCAGGGGTCCATAGGGTCGCACATAGTCGGACACGACTGAAGCGACTTAGCATGCATGAATGCATTGGAGGAGGAAATGGTAACCCACTCCAGTGTTCTTGCCTGAAGAATGCCAGGGACAGAGGCGCCTGGTGGGCTGCCATCTACGGGGTCGCACAGAGTTGGACACGACTGAAGTGACTTAGCAGCAGGAGCTATATAGTATATAAACTAATCTAGATAATTTGTAAAGCACTCTATGGATTACAAAATTCCCTCCAAGTCAACAGGAGGAGTTTTGAGGTCTATATTACTGTTGGCTAAATATAGGAAAAAAGCCTTGCAGACAAAGGTCTGTACAGTCAAAGCTATGGTTCTTCCAGTAGTCATGTACAGATGTGCGAGTTGGCCCATAAAGCAGGCTGAGCGCTGAAGAATGGATTCTTTTGAACCGTGGTGTTGGAGAAGACTCTTGAGAGTCCCTTAGACAGCAAGGCGATCAAACAAATCAATTCTAAGGAAATTAACCCTGAATATTCATTGAAAGGACTGATGCTGAAGCTGAAGCTCTAACACTTTGGCCACTTGATGCAGAGGCAACTCACTAGAAAAGACCCTGATGCTGGGAACTATCGAAGGTCGGAGGAGAAGGTCACAGACAGAGGACAAGATGGTTGGATGGCATCACTGGCTCAATGCGCATGAGTTTAAGCAAACCCCCTGAGATGGTGAAGGACAGGGAGGCCTGGCGTGCTGCAGTCCGTGGGGTCGCAAAGAGTAGGACACGACTTAGCGCCTGAAAAGAACCAACAGAAACCGGGTGCAGACTCGCTCAAGTCGCCCTCAGAACTAAGCCTTACAAAACAGAGAGTTAAGCCACAGCAGAGGATGTCATCGGCGTGGTCGGCCGGGCTGCATGAAAGTAGGAGTAAACAGAAGCCACCTTTCCTCGATTTTTCTCCCCAGAAGCGTGTTTTGTGAGCACTAAGAGTTTCGCTAGCCAGCCAGGCTCGAACCCGCGGCGGACGGAGGGTGGCAGCACGGGTCGGGCTCTGCGTCTCCAAACGAGACGTTAGTCCCACCTGCGGAGCCCAGGGCCCTCGAATCACCCTCCGTGCTCCCGGAACAAACACGGATCCAGACGCCGGACCTCCGGCGACTGACTCTCAGCGAGGCTTGAGCGCGCCCCCTAGCGGCGGGTGCCGTCCGAGAGCCGGGCCCGGAACGAAACTGTCGGGCGGAACCCAGAGTGCGCGCTCGGAGTTTCCAGGGAAGAGGACGGGGAAGGACCTGCGCGCTGAGGTTCCTACCGTCGCGGAGCAGGCAATGGCGGTGGTGGTCCGGGGTCTGCGGCTCTGGCGGGCCGCCCCAAGCGGCGGGGCTGCCTGGAGTGAGTTATCAGCGGCCGTGGGGACGAGGAGGGAGGCTTAGAGGACGGTGTCTGTTCAGACTGGGCCCCAGGCGGGACCTAGTGGGGAGTCCAGCGGGGCTGGGGCGGGGCGGAGGCGGGTGTTTAAAGCCGCCGCCCCTCCCGGCCTTGGGGTCCAAATCTCGGCGAGATGAGGGGAAGGGCCGCGGGAGAAGCTTGGGGCGCCCCCTGAGAGGGAGACCACGTTCTGGTGCATAAGTGTCCTTGTTTTCCCCTTGAACTCGTGCACGCCTTGCCAAATCCTCTGATTTGGGGTTCCCGGAAAAACAAAACAAAACAAAAAAACAGCATTTCTCCATCTAGATATGGAGCGATTTGGCGTGGGACCTTCGATCTCTTGGAGCTTTCTTGTCCCCAAGACCTTTTCAAAGCGACAAACTTTGCTCAACTTTGCCTTGGCTGGTCTGCTTTTTGACTCCATTTCCTGGTTACCTTTTTCTTGCCCCTTACTAAGTCTGTAAAGCGCAGATTGGAATTCGACGGAGCAACTGGTGAGAATTGGAGATCTGATGGTCAAGGCAAAGTAGAAGTAAAGGCGCGGATCTAGGCAGGCTGCCATCTCTTCCGTTGGCGTTTTAATTAATGTTAGAAAGTGGACCTCTGAGTTCATTTCGGCGATAGCATTGAAAATTCCCTTGCCTCCTATTCTTTCCCGACTGGAGGAGGGCGATGGCGGGAGGATGTTCACCTCTTTTGTCAGTATTCACGTTTATTGTAACTTCCTCACAGGGTCTGTGGCCACATCACCTGCTTCTCAGCTGTCACCGACCGAACTGATAGAAATGCAGAATGATCTCTTTAACAAAGAGAAAAACAGGCAGCTGTCACTCACTCCCCGAACTGAGAAGATCGAAGTGAAACACGTTGGGAAAACTGACCCTGGCACTATCTTTGTGTTGAATAAAAACGTTTCCACTCCTTATAGCTGTGCCATGCGTAAGTAACGGATCAGGGTCCCGTTTTGATGATTTTAAATGAGAAAGGGGAGAAACTGGTGCAGAGGCGACAAGATGTAATGGCTCCCTGAACTCGCCCGTATCTAGCATCTTACTGTGTGTTCGCTGTTGACTTAGCTGTTGAGGATACTAGGGGTCGGGTAAGATGGGTATTGTAATGCACAGGTTGTCCTGGGACTTGCTTGAATCTGGCTGAGTTTAGAGTGCTGTCACAGTTTCCTGAAGAAGGCAGACCTGAAAGCTTAGCTACTCTTGTGCTTGCCGTTTTTAGAGACACTTGGTGTAATGGGGGTAGTCACTATGTGAGTCCGGTTAGAGGATTTTGAGACAGAGGGACTGCCCTGACCTCAGATGATCAGCTATTTTTTTGGCCTCCTTTTCCTTTCCTGCTCTTTTGTATCTAACTTAACCCTTTTATCTGCTCACTGCTTACCTTGTGTGTATGTTGTGTCTTTGTTTATATGTAGTAAATGTGTGAGTGCATGGCGTGAGTGTGATTGGAGTGAAAATACTTCTTATGTTCATATATTAAAGAAGATAATAATGCCTTGTGTGTGATCTGGTTTGGAGATGGAGGGAGAAGGGCCTCTATGTTATTTTCGATCAGAATTCTTTTGTAACTTTGATAGAACTGGTAATGTTTAAATTCAGAAAGAACAAAAAAGTCGATCCGTAAGTCCTGCATTCTCACTCGAATATGACTGCATTGTTAAGGCTTTTGGAAAACTTAGTGATGATTCCATTTGAGTAATTAGCATTAGTTAAAAGTTCAAGGTGACTTCCTCAGTGAGTACTCTCAATCTTCCTTTACTTTGGCACTTAATTAGTACTTAGAGTTGCTTCCTTGTTTGGCAAGCGTTTCTTGAACCTCTGCTCTAGGATAGGTGTTAGGAATACAGAGGGGGCTAAGACGGCCCTTAAGCAGTTCTACACATTTAACAGGTAGAGATGGGAACACTCCCAGCGTAACCCCTGCCCTCGGACTTGCTTCTGTCTCATACTGTCAGTCGTTCAGTACCTGTTTTTTTTTTAAATTTTTTTCCCCCCTCTATTGACTACCTGTTATTTCAGGCCCAGTGCTAGGCTCTAGATAAATTGAGTGAGCAAAAATAGGCATGATCCCTGCCTTAGGGGGCTTATTTAGACCCTGTGGTTGGACCACTTCTGTGACTATCTTCGTACTCAAAAAACATCTAATCAGGGATGCAGTTGCATTCTGGAGTCAAATAACAGACCAGAGCTGATGTGCTTATGTGTGAATTCATACTGATTACTGAAAACTGGTAACTGTTGTATTTAACTTTAGAGTCTGTGTTAGGGACGTAAGAGTTGATTTGGAAGGAAGGCCCTAAATCCATCTAGAACAGACTTAATGTGGATGTATATTTTTATATTTTCCCTTCTAAGGTGTGTGTGCATATATTCAGATATATCCATGATGCTTGTCTCTATTTAAGTGTAGCTCATGGCAGATTATTTTATTACTTAATTAACAGATTAATTTCAGATTAGACTTTGCCTTAATGATTTTTGTTTGGGTAATTTTGTTAATAATTAACAATACACTGAATGTGTTGGAAATTATTTATTAGCTACAAATATTTTTTTCCCCTCATAAAAGACAGCTTGCCAAATCTTGCCTTTCTGTTTTTCTTATTTCTTAACGTAGCACTTAAACATGTAACTTTTCACTTGGGTTTTGTTAGAGTTAAATCTTCAATCTGTTCTAAATTCCTAGATTTAAGTGAGTGGTACTGCAGGAAGTCTATTCTGGCTCTTGTGGACGGACAGCCTTGGGACATGTATAAACCTTTGACCAAGTCCTGTGAAATTAAATTTCTTACTTTCAAAGATGATGATCCAGGAGAAGTCAATAAGGTATTTCTGCTTCTGCATTCTTTTGTCCTCCCCCCAGTTTTTCTTCCCCCTTTTATTAAAATCTGTTTACTTTGGACTATGCTTGTGCTGTGCTGTCTCATGTCCGATTCTCTGCCACCCCGTGGACCATAGCCCACCAGGCTCCTGTCCACGGGATTCTCCAGTCAAGAGGATAGTGGAGTGGGTTGCCATGCCCTTCTCCAGGGGATCTTCCTCACCCAGGGATCAAACCCAAATCTCTTGCCTTGCTGGCAGATTCTTTACTGCTGAACCATGGGGGAAGCCCCTATGGAGTTATACAAATATGGCCAGAGTCAAATGTTGTACTGTATTAATCAGGGTTTTAACTGGTAGATAAGGCATTTTCATAGTTTAAAAATCCTCAGTGGCATTCATGTGTGTGTTTTGGTTTGAGAAAACTATATGATGTATCTTTTACATTCATATCTTTGTTCAGCTTACTTTTATTAATCACCCTGTATATTGCAGTAATTTCTTTCTTGCCTTTGACCATCTCTTCTATATTATTTCAATAATTTTTTAACTTCTCTACCTCCCTCCCTTTTTTTCTGAAAGTCTTTCTTAATAGTCTTGCAAAAGTTTTGTTGGATGATGTGACTGATCCCTAAAGCACTTGTCTACCTGATAACCTTTTGTGTAACTTTCCTGGCCTTGCGTGGATACTTCTCTGACCATCACCTGCTCTTTGAACCTTAGTTTCCATAGCATCTTTCCACTTCCTGCTCCAGCCACACTGGAGGACTTGATCAATAAAGGTTTCTGCTCTGTTGTCCTTCTTGCTTTGAGTATTCTCTTTCCTCCCTGTTAAAATCCTGTTTATCTTTTATAGTTAAGTTAAAATGTAATCTGCTCTGTGGAACCTTCTCATGTCTTCTTGTCAGGTGAATCCCTCTTCTGGGTCTCAAAACACTTGCTTAGTGTCTCTCGACGCAGTATTTTGATTTTCCTTTGTAATATGAGCTGTTGAATGCATTGGATTCTTGGCTCTGTAAAGACAGGGATCATGACCCTTATTGGGTCTTGTCCTTGACTTACATACAGTAGGTGTTTAATAAGTATTTGTTGAAATGAAATATTTAAAGAAGGAAATGATAAACATGATAATTAAAGTAGCTAACATCAAACATTTATTGTATATCGGACACTGTTTTAGGTGATTCACAGGTATTAACTCATTTAATCCTCATTAAAAAAAAAATCCCATAAAAGGTACTGTTATCCCCATTTTACAGATAAATAAACTGAGGCAAAGAGAGATGGCAATAGCTTGACCAAGGTTACCAGTTTAGGAAGTGGCTGAGCCTGGATTTGAACCTAGGCGTTGATTCTGAATTCCTCAGACATTAGAAACAGTAAACTCAGAAAAATGAAAAAGTGCATTTTGCTGGCCTTCAAGGCCTGAATTTGCGTTTGTTTTTAGTGTATCTCCGTGATCGTGTAGAGCACATTCTGGAGTCTGTGGCACACAACCGAGTGAGCCCACTCTTGTCCCCAGATGTGAAGCGCTTAGGAAAGTCACGTGCCCAGTTAGAGTAATGCCGGTACAGAGCGTCAGATGGGGTGGGGGAGGGGTGCAGTACTCGTGTTTTTATGACTCTGTGATTTTTATTTTGAAGAAATATTAGTAAATCTTAGTATTTATTATATTTGTGTATGTTTTATATTTCTAGGCTTATTGGCGTTCTTGTGCCATGATAATGGGCTGTGTGATAGAGAGGGCATTCAAAGATGAATATGTGGTCCGTTTGGTCAGAGCCCCAGAAGTTCCAGGTGATGTATACATATAAGCAAATAAATATACACACAGGTCTACTTTCTGTATGTGAATATTTTGGTACCTATGTTTGATGTCGTATAGAAAGTGACGCTTAGTCGTGTCTGACTCTTTGCAACCCCATGGATTGTAGCTCATGGAATTTTCCAGGCAAGAGCACTGGAGTGGGTTGCCATTCCCTCCTCCAGGGGATCTTCCTGACCCAGGGATCAAACCCAGGTCTCCTGCACTGCAGGCAGAGGCTTTCACCTCTGAGCCACCAGGGCAGCCCGTTGTATAGAGCTCTCTTCTAATTTAATCTGGGCTTCCCTGGTGGCTCAGGTGATAATCCTCCTGCAACGCAGGAGACCCAGGTTCGATCCCTGGGTCGGGAAGTTCCTCTGGAGAAGAAAATGGCAACCTACTCAAGTATTCTTGCCTGGAGAATTCCACGGACAGAGGAGTCTGGTTGGTCACATTGCATAGGGTCACAGAGTCGGACATGATTGAGCAACTCACACTTTCATTTTATCTAGTGTAAATTACCGTCATACATACATTCCATTCATTATAGTTAACAGAATTCATCTTATTTCGGTCATATTCCATTTAATTATTAAAAGTCAATTATTAACATAATAGAACTAGAGATTATTTCTCTTAAATATGCATTTCATGTAAATATACTGTGTCAGTATTTATTTATTATCATTTAAAGTATTTATTTCCAAACAATGTGTGGAGGAGGAGATGTGAGTATAAATAGACTTCTATAGAAAATTGTGTTTTAGGTGGTACCATTTCACCAGAAATGACCCTAACACTGGAGAGGAACACCATTTTTGGGAGGTGGAAGAGTTCATATTCTTTCTAAAACTAGGATTTTACAACAGTATATGTAGTAGGATCACATTTGTATTTTTTTTTAAAGGTAGAAGTTTATGTGCCAAAAAATATTTGATTTGGCAATCAATGATTCTAAGAAAAACAAAACAACAAAAAACTAATCTTTATTAGAAGATACTAAAAAATTAAACATTTCATGTCCATTTAGTTATTTACGTACTTGTTAAATATTTTGTTCTTTAGGAATTTTTATACCTAGTAACTGTTTTGATCATCAGAGAAATCTCTGTGGTCATAATATTCTTGAAGAAAATGTGAATGGTTAAAAAATACTGGTGATGTTGTGCTAACAAAAAGGTGAGATAATTTGATATCAGAGTCGTTAGAGGTCTGACAGGCAGCTGGAGTAATGGTAACAGTTTTATAATTTGTAGTGTTGGGAGAGATTGTTCACTTTTCATGTTAGGGTCTAAATATTCATTTGTGTTAAATTAGTAACTTCATATCGTAACAGATTTAACTTGGCTTTTTTATTTTGGCTGGATTTACAGTAATCGCTGGAGCCTTCTGCTATGACGTTGTTTTGGATAAGAGACTTGATGAGTGGATGCCAACAAAAGTAAGCCTGCTCTTCAGAGTATTAATTTTAGAGTCTGTGCCTTTCTTTGTTAGAATGATTCCTGTGTTAGTATTGTTGAATGATACTCCGTGTTGAGAATATATAAAAGAATCAGTCATTCAATCTTTTTTTTTTTTAGTGTATTTAAGACAGAGGTATATGGTTGAGGGTATTCACCACAGCCTGGTGCCCAGAATATAAAATATAGAGGCTTAGCTATGTTGGATCCCCAGAACACACTTTGAAAATCACTGCTCTAAACCGGTTAGAGCCTATTGGCATGCTGAGATCTTCCAATAAACAAGGATTACATTGAGAGTGGTGGTGGTGGTTGGGGAGGGGGTGTGAATTAAAAAACATCAGCCTTTGAGAAAGCTGACCCAAAAAGCAGACTACATAGCAACAAACTAGCCTGTTCTGGAATGGTCCGCCTCCTAAATGAGGGCGCTCCTTGCTGCTCTGGGACTCGGGTAGCAGCAGGAGTCTGGCTAACAAAAGTGGGTCTACGTCAGATGCTGTGTAGGTAGGGGTTGCTGACAGCTTTTGAAAGTTAAACCTAGTGACTTAGTTACGATCGGGGAGAACGGGCAGATGCCTAATTAAGCAAAAGTGTATGTCCTACATTGGAAGTTTGGAAGTCAGGAAAGGGGAGGCAGTGTAGTGTACCATTTTATCAACTTCACTATGTCCATTTTTTTCACATTTTAATATCTCTGAAACAAATATGTCTTTTGTTTGTTTCTATAACTTAAACTTTTTTAGTTGAAAAAAATTATAGATACCTGTGGAGTTGCCTGGTAGCTCAGCTGGTAAATGCAAAGCAATGCAGGAGACCCTGGTTCAGTTTCTTGGTGGAAAAGTTTCCCTGGAGAACGGATAGGCTACCCACTCCAGTATTCTTGGGCTTCCTTGGTCACTCAGACAATAAAGAATCCGCCGGCCATGTGTGAGACCTAGATTCAATCCCTGGGTGGGGAAGATCCCCTGGAGCAGGGCCTGGCAACCCACTCCGTATTCTTGCCTGGAGAATCCCCATGGACAGAGGAGCCTGGTGGGCTACAGTCCATGGAGTCACAAGGAGTCGGACACGACTGAGCGACTAAGCATAGCACAGTGGAGTTGTAGGTAGTGATACAGGGAGGTTCCGCGTTCCCTTTACTCCCTTTTCCCTGGTAGTCCCACGTGATCACAACCAGGATATTGACACCGATACAGCCAAGATGCAGAACATTTCTGTCACTGCCAGAATTTCTCTTTAGTCTCCATCCTCCCCATCCTGAAACTGTGGCAAATGCTTATCTGTTCTCTATTTGTATAATCTTATCAATTCAAGAATGTTGTGTAAATGAAGTAATATGAAATATGTCATATTGGGGGATTGACTTTTTTCACTCTGTAATTCTCTGGAGCAAATGTGACTTAACAGTAGATAGCATTTTATCATTATCACTGGTAATGTCTTTTCTCAGTGGTGCATCTTAATATTTAGTGTAATAGTTTCTAAAAGCAAGAATTTCAGAGTTGCTGACTCCAAATGTTGGCTTTGAAAGTTATTTGTTAAATAATCTTGCCCTTATTGCTTAATATCAGAAGAGAGAGAGAGGAGGGGAAACAGGAAGGAAGAAAGAGAGAGAGGGAAGAAAGGTGTTGGGAGAGATGGGGAGAGGGTCAGGGAGGGGTAAGAATGGTTTCTTCTTCATCTATGGACTCATGTCAGTGTATTTTTTTATTTCTTTTTTAAGTCTGTCAAGATTCTTCCTTTACTGAAGTTAAGTAAAAACTAAGGCAGTCAAAATTTAACTCTTACTGTCTATGAAACTTGCTGCTGCTTTTTTCCTTTTTTTTTCCAAAATAAAACTTTACAAAAGAAATGTACTAGTTCATCGGAGGCACTGTGGGGTTTGGTGGAAGGCTTTGAGAAAGTGGGGAGAGTTATATTCAAGTAACAGCTATGTTAAACCATGAATGTGTATTTGCAGGAAATTATCTCTTTAAGAATGAGGAGAATCATTTCATTCAAAACAGTCTAATAAGTTTATGGAAAGAATTTTATTACAAAAATTATTTGCGTAATAGTGCTTGATCTTTTCTGTATTAGTAATGATTCATAGTGTGAAAACTCAATTATAGTTTTTATTAAAAATCTCATAAACATTGTTAATGTGTATTAATCATTTTAATTGTATCAAATAGATGTTTTCATTAAACAAGTTTCTAGCATTGAATTTTATGCTATATTTTGGACATGGGCAGTGATGACATTTCCTGTTGAAACTTTCTGAATCACATAAACAATAAGTTTTTCCTCATGGATTTATTTTAAGAACTTAGTTTTACTCATAGTGTAAACAAATTTTTGTATCTTACTATTTACTTATTAGCATCTCTACTTCTTGCACCATTATTTTAATAAACATTTACAAGGCTATATAAATGAAGTGTTCATTAAAATTTTTTTATAGGATTATCCTTAATAATTCTAATACAGGCTGATATTTAGTTACAAGTTAATTACAAGTTTTATAGTTTGTAGAGTTGGGAGAAATTGCTAATCATACATCTCATGATTCAAGTATTCAGTTGTTGCAAATGACTGCTTCCTTTCCTAGCCAGTTGGCTTTTGCTTTTTGTTGTAGTTGGATTTATAATATTAAGCATACAGTTTTATCTACCTTCTACAGAAATGTTTGTAAGTAAATTATTACAAAAGATTAATACTTTCATTTTTAAGGAGAACCTGCGTTCTTTCACAAAAGATGCTCGTGCTTTAATTTATAAAGATCTTCCATTTGAAACCCTGGAAGTTGAAGCAAAAGTGGCATTAGAAATATTTCAGCACAATAAGTAAGTGTTGGCTTCCTTTAAAACAAAATTAAACCTCTTAAAGTTGTATATAATGAAGAAAATTCAGCTCTCAAGCACTTTGATATTTGATGTACGTCGCCTTTTACTTTTTAGCTTTTACTTTGTTCAGCTCACTGTTTCCCTGAGAAGAAGTGACCCCCTCCCCAGCTTTGATTCTTTTCTTTCTTTGTTTTGCTGTCTTTTTTTTTTTGTCCAGTTCTTTTATGTTACCACTGCGGTGTGTTCCCCTTATTTTCTTTCATTGTGAAGGGGGTAGCCTGTGTTAAGAAACTGTATTATTTTGATTTTAAACTTAAATTTATTTAAACTGTATTGCATTTGGCAACCTTTCCTTCCCATCTTTCCACTTTTCAAATGAAAAGGGTAAGACAGCGAATGCCAGCTGTTCAGAAGCAGCTAACAGCTGAAGGGAAAACGTTCACATGGCCAGATCTTAGTCTTCCCTGTGGGAATTAGTCATTTGATGGATTTTCTTTGCCAACATTTTTAATTGTGCCTGGCTTCTCAATTTCCTTTCTCACTCAGAAAACCTCCAATTTATCTTCTACTTATTGTGAGAACATAAACAAAATTTTAATGTTAATCTAACTAGAATCCATTAGAAAAGGAAATCTGAGAATTTTTTCACTTGGACACGTCGGTGGTTGATGTCATCATTTACTTAGCTGGGGGTTCAGGAATGAGTTTGGTGAGAAAAGAGGCCGTGCGTTTTTGTTCAGTTTGAGTATTTGGGAGTGTAAGATGCTTGTCGAACACCCTGGTGAAGTCCGGAGTGTTTTGCACATACAGTTCAGGGCTCAGAAGAAGTATGTGGTTGAGAAGCAGAGGTGTAGGAGATAGAAGCACAGAAGTGATAACTAAAGCTGTGCGGATCAAGGAGCCAGCCCAGAGAGGATGCCGCGAGTGAAGGGCGCCGAGGGACGGAACGTGCAGGGCAGGGGAAGAGGAGGGTGACCAGAGAGTTAAGTAACAAGCAGTAGGGAATGCCACAGAAGCTGGTGGACGAGAGCACCTTGAGAAGTGGGGGTGAGCAGGGGAAATGAGGACCTAGGTTGGCACCAAGGGGGTATCTGTGGGTCCCGTGAGAACCTTCCGGGGGAGTTAGGAAGCTGTGGCCAGACCAGAAGGGTGAGATGTGAAAGGGAGGCGGGAGGGGGAGGCTCCTAGTCTGACCCTCCCTTTCAAGCACTTTGGCTGAAGAGGAAGAGAAAGGGAAGTGGCTTTAAACACCTTCTTGTATTTAGAGTTAAAACTCTTTTTCTTTTTTTGCTGCTTTTTAGGTACAAAGTAGATTTCGTAGAAGAGAAGGCATCTCAGAACCCTGAGAGAATAGTCAAGCTACATAGGTAAGTAAAAGTGAAAATATTGACCTCTATGCGAATTGAATGGAAGGTTTAGTTTTATTGCTACCTGACTAGTATATCACGGAGTAAGATGAGTTTCTGCCTTTATTTGTTGTTCCTTTTATCTTATTTTCGGTTGCTTTGTTCAGTTTTTTGATACGGTGGTGATTGGAAGCTGTTATCTTTAGGAAGGGTTGCGGCTTCTGTTCCTCATTTTGCTGTTACTTTTATATTTGTATTTTACCAGTTGGAAAGCATTGTTAAAAAATGTAATTTCTAGAGTTAATTTTGAAAATGGGTGAAATATTCTTTGTTATGAATTGATCCTAATTCATATAAGTCTATATTCATATATGTATGTAGAGATATGATTACTGACTAGTTGCTGCTTGTGTTACATGTAAGGAGTTCATATCACAGTGTGCTTCCTGATGCAGAGATGAGAGAGGTAAGACAGGGCATTAGCAAAAATGACTTCTTAGTCTGTATCTGTTTTTTCAACTTAATATATTTTGACTCAGACTTAACTTTTTTCCTCTTGGAAGCTGCTCTTAGGGCACAATCTGGCCTACATACTGAAACTCTAAATTCTGTTGTATTAGTTGTTACCAGGTTATCAGATTTAGACATTGGATCCATTTGATGGCATAATATGTTCAGTGATCTTAAAAATCTTCAAAATTGTAGGAAGAAAAAGTTTCACCGGTTTTAATTTTCAAAATTTTAGGCTTTTCACTTGAGATCACCGTGTCAGGGTCTACTCCAGGCCGTATTGATGGATAGGCATTGTTCTTGATGTAGCAGCAAATAGAATGAATAAACTCTTTTTCAAACTCTTGTTGAGTGATGTGATTTTATGATCTAATTTGTTTATTTTTAAAATCAAATCAGATTTGGTGACTTCATTGATGTGAGCGAGGGCCCTCTTATTCCAAGAACAAGTATTTGTTTCCAGTATGAAGTGTCAGCGGTTCACAATCTGCAAGCCACCCAGTCGAGTCTTGTACGAAGATTCCAGGGTCTCTCTCTACCTGCGCACTTAAGAGTAAGTAAAGCCGAAAGTTTCAGGTTACTCAGTTTGGGTGTGGGTGTGATTCCAGTCTTGATTTTTATACCAATTGGAAGGATATATATTTAATTTTCATTAAATTGTGTAACACTAATATTTCGTCAATTTGGGTTTATGATTAAAAATAATTTTAGCCAGGATGTAAACAGATAATTTACAAAAGAAATATTAGTTGAAAAAATTAAGTCAAATTGAGATAGAATTTTTAACATTTCAAATTCATTTAGAAGAGGGTGCAGTGGGGAGCAGGGGGCACGTGTTGATGGGACCTTCTGGAGTGCCCTGTGGCCTTATATTTGGCCTGTTCTTCTCCCTAATTTTGAGGATCTCTGTCGCTCCCTTCTCCTCCTGCCGTCAGTCTTTCCCAGCGTCAGGGTCTTCGGGTACACAGTGTATCTTTTCATTGCTTTAAATCTTTTTTCATCAGCATTTTGTAATTTTTACCATATGTGTCCTTTATGTGTTTGATTTTTTCCCTACATGCCTTCCTTTCCTAGCTCTCTACATTTCAGTACATGAACTGTCAGCTACCTGGCTGTTTGAGGTCACCCTTGATTCTCTGGTTCCCTCATAGTCAGGCCCCATCCCATCCGTCAGGAAGTTGACTCTACTCTAAAACATATCGTGAATGCATCCTCTGCCAGCAGATCATCTACTACTGCTCCCTACATCCCGTCCCTCTTTCTCCCCATTCTCCTTCCTGGCTTTTCATTCTTGCCTCCAAAGCACATTCTCTAATGAGTAGCTAAAGTGATGCTTTTAATATATTTTTAATATTTGATTTATAATATAAATCAAATCATGTAATTCCTATGCCTCAAACTTGCCAGTGGCTTCTCTTGAACAAATGCTGACCCTGCACCCTGTCTCACGGAACCCTACATTGTGAGACTCCTGCCTTTCTCTGACTTCATCTCATACCACTTTCTCCAGCACCCATTACATTCCACTCAAACCTTAAAGTCTCTCACTGTAGCTCATCTGCCTGAGCCAGGTGTGATTTTCCCTTGAAATATGCCACTCTTTGCTCTTCCTCCAGAAGGGTCACGTATTTAGTCATTTTACCTTTTATCATAGATTTTACCAGCTCATCCAGTTTGAAATAGTCCCTGACCCACCCACATCCCTCAGTATCACCTTCAGCTGATTTAGTAAACATTGATGTGGTCATTTTGCGCTTTGCAGTTTTCATTTATGCATTCTGAAAATTCTCTGCTGCATATGATTGTTAAGTATTAAGGAAATTAGTTCTGTAACGTTACTATTGTCTTTGTCAGTTTTTACTTGTTCTCTAGAGTAATCTACTAAATCTTCCAGGTCTGCTCTTCCGGTGTGAGATGTCACAATTGGCTCTTTGTGTGTGTGTGTTAAATTTTTATTGGAGTATAGTTGATTTTCAGTGTTGTGTTAGTCTCTGCTGTATATAGCAAAGTGTTATCAGTTATACATACACATATATCCTCTCCTTTAAAGATTCATTTCCCATACAGCAGAGCTCATTACAGAGAACTCAGAAGAATTCTTAATGAACCTTTCCTTGTAATTGCTTATGATTTGAACAGTGACCAGTAGCATGTTGAAATTGGCTATTTGAGGAAAGAATTAGGGCTTAGTGGGAGAGACTTTTGCCCATTAGAAGGAATGCTTTTTGTGGTGGTACTGATTAAGAAGGACAAAGGATGGCATGCTCAGTCCTTAAGTTTCTTGTTCTTTTTTTTTTCCCGCTGTTACAAGTAGAGCTGCTGTGTGTAATTGTGTGATAGGTTGTCTGGACACTTTTTCAAAACTGTTTTCTAAGTGCTAGACGTGTAGTGTTCAGGTCATAGGTGAGCCGTGTTTAGCTGTGGAAAAATCCAGCTAAGTTTCTCTGGCATGTGGGATCTTCCTGGGTAAGGGATCGAACTTGAGTCTCTTGCATTGTCAGGCAGATTCTTTACCACTGAGCCACCAGAGAAGCCCCAAGGTTCTTGTTCTTAAATGCTGAGCAAAGCAGCTGTCTTGTATAGTGTGTACTTTTTCCCTGCTCAGACTCACTTTTGTGACCTCGTAGCCTCATTAGTACTGCCTAACTTTTCTTGTGTTTGTTTTCTGTATTTGTTTTGTTTAAAACCTATAAAGACTCAGCCTCTTTGATTTTAACTTTGCTGCTTTATTTAATTCATAGTAAATCTTTTCTTTTCAAGGCACATTTTACAATATGGAATAAATTATTGGAAAGGTCTCGGAAAATGGTAAGTGTTTTTGGCAGCGTGTGAGTACATTTCTGTGAAGAAATTTTCCTTGAAATTAAGCAACCACCACTACCAAAACAACAAAATAATAAAGAAAAAGAGAAGGAGAGACATTGGTTGTCTCATTAGCTAACGCAGTATTGTGGTGGTTGACCTCGTTAGTATTTTGGCAAAAGAAAAGTTGTTATTTGGCAATTCTGTTTTTATTTGCTAATAACATGAGAGTGATACTGTAGGAACTTGAAGAAAAATAAAACTTACTACTGTATAGCAGTAACAGTTCTTTATGGCTATAATGGTGTTAATTAAGTCTATGCTATATTTTTTTGTGACCCTCATGAATATTTAAGGTTTGCCAGATATGTTTTAAAGCTGCCTTGACAGCAGACACTTTAAGATATAAATGTCCTGAAAAACCATTACCCAATTAAATATTTATTATTTTGCATGATGATGTGTACAGCTAGCCTTTAGTAATGACTTTACAGGTAGAATTTGCTATTTAGGCACTTAGCTATAATGTTCTTGTGCACAGATGATGTAATTTTCTTTTTCTCATGAGAAGAAGGTGTTTTTGAATAGATGGAATAACTTTGTCTCTTTGATTGGTCACAATGACCGTTTTAGATTAAGAATAAATGAATATATAAGAAATGTAGAAAGTAGTAGAGACAGTAGCCTAGAGTGTCTAGTGGAAATCAGTGAGTAGCTGTTTTTACAATATTTATTTTGGTTCACTTTCCTTCTTCCACTGTTTATTTTGCTTGTACAAAGGGAGTAGCTTAAACATATGGTTCATTGATTTAACTACAGAGCCTCGTTATGTGCCAGGGACTGTAGGTGCAATAATGAACAAGATCTACTTGCTGTCCTCAAGGAAGTTACTTGAACAGCATAACTAGGCCTATAAGCAGACAATTCAGGTCTACATGTGGGGCTCTGACATAAAGAAAAGGACCCAAGCCAAACCACTGATTGGTTAAGGAGCGTTCCCAATCATTATTTCTTAAACTGGTTTTAAAGGGTGAATGGAAGTGGGCCAGGCAGATAATTTGCTTGCAAATGGGTTTATCCCAGAGGAACCTGCTTGCCTAAGAGGCTGGTGGAATCGAGTGCATGGTGAACGTAAGAGGAATCTGGATGCACACTCACGTGTGGGATGGGTGATGAGTCTGTTGGAAATAGAATATGAGGGGCTTGTCTTCTGTGATGTGGAATTTGCATGCCCCTCCCAAAGATGATTGGAGGTAACTGGAGAATTTGAGTAAGGAAGTGACCTGTTGATAAACTCTTCCTGTTTACAAGCTCATTCTGCTGCCGGCTTGGAAGATAACTGTGACTTAAGCCAGCAGCCCTCTAAGGGGTAGCAGATGACAAGACCCTGAAGTTCAAGCTGGGCAGTGGGAATGGCTGTGAGAGTTACGTAGGTGGAATTAATAGGACTCTTGATCAAACATGCAGGTGAGAGAAAAGTGGATTTTCCCATGCCTGGCTCGGGCATCTGAGTGGAACATGTCACTGAGAGAGAGAATGCAGGAAGTAGAGCAGGTCGTAGGGTGAAGAGGAATGCCCTTTGGCTCTGTTTCCTGAGTGACATGTAACAAATATTAACACAGATATCTATTCTACTAAACCTGTAGTATACTGTGTTAAAATAGAATTACTGATTTTTTCAACAAGATTGATTGATTTAAAATACTTTGTTGATTTCATTTTATAGATGAAAAATACAATGACAAACTTGAGAAGCCTAGATGTGTGTCTCAGATTGTATTTTTAGTGGAATTGCACTTTACTTGATAGTTTATATTGGGAACTTGGTTGTATAAGTTTTCTTCTCTTTCTACTTAACTTTTTATAATTACTATTGAAAAGGAAAGACAAAGGATTATTAAAAAAGACTGCAGTGATTTTAAACGGTGAGTGAAGGGTAAAAGTGTTTATTAGAGAAGTAAAGCTATTTATATTTTTACAGGTAACTGAAGATCAAACTAAACCTACCGAGAAGAGTGCATCTACCTAGTCACTTCCTCAAATTTAAATATGTATAGTAAATTAAAATAAAAGTTTTCTATGTAATGTTTGTGCGTGCTTATAAAATGAACTGTCTTTTTCTCCCTGAGATTTATACTGGTTTACTTTGTCCTTTCTCTGAAGGGAAAAACCATAAGAATTTTATATAGAAACAAACCTTCCCCCTTCTACTACCTGGATGCAACATTTAGGCATGTTTTCTACTTTCAGGGCTTTTTGTACATATATAAACATATATGTCGTTGTTGTTTAATTGTTAAGTCGTAACCGATTCTTGTGGCCCCATGGACTGTAACTGCTAGGCTCCTCTGTCCATGGGATTTCCCAGGCAAGAATGATGGAGTGAGCTGCCGTGCCATCCCTCAGGTGATCTTCCTGACCCAGGGATTGAACCTGCATCTCCTGCTTTGGCAGGTGGATTCTTCACTGCTGAGCCCCAGGGAAGCCCCATAAACATATATGCACAGATACGAAGTTAATCTTTTACAAACATAAATAAGATCATACTATAGTTTCCCTTTTTCACTGTTTTTAAACAGTGATGCAATAAAACATCTTTGTGCAAAATGGCATGCATTTTGTGGATAGATAAACTGCTACTCAGTGAGTGTTTTCCATAAACCGGTCATTGTGCTGAGCTTTTCATATGGAATCTCTTACTTAGGTCTCACAGCAGCCTGTTAATAAGGTGTTTCCAGTTTGCGAGTGAGGCGACTGGAACCTGGCAAGTATTAATAGCAAAGCTGGAAATTGGATCCAGGTGCTTTCACTCCCGTGCCCTTTTATATTATGTACTATGCTCTTGTTCATGGTTAACAGATGCATATGAATTTGTGAATCTTTCAGAAGATTACTGATGGAGTTATGTATTCATTTGTTTGTTCCTTTATTTCCTAGTCCGTGAATGATCTTTCTCTGAAGTCAGATTTGCTTATCTCAATTTTTCATGTTTCGGGTTCCCCCTAACCATTCCCCACCCCCAAATCTAGCGACTGTTGGTTGTTAGTTTTAGTGGAGAATGCGGCTGTAGGGAAGGAGATTGAGTGGTAGCTCTGCGGTGTGGGTGAGGTTTGGCTTCTCTAAGGATGAGTAGGTGAAGCTGGCTGATAGGATGGGGGTTTTCTAGTGCTAAAATGAAGAACTTGTCAGTTTTGATGACTGGTTTCTATGGTGACTCTTCTGATTCTCTCTCAACTCTTCGGTAACTTATTTTATGAGATCCCTCCAATATTTTACCTATGGACCAACGTCTAGATTCAGGCCTTTCTGTATTTGGCAGTTGCGGTGGGGGATAGAGAACGCCTGGTTTGTATGCAGACCTTTGCTGAGCCCATTCTTTTTAGTCCCTCTTCTTTCTGTCTTGTGTCTTCCACCATCTTTGAGGTTCTCTGACTGGGCAGGTCGGCACCCCCCCACGTATTCTGGGTGGTGACGTCCTCCACCGTTGCACTGGTCACTTCACTGTCCGTCTTAGCAACAGGGCGAGATTTCTTGTCTGCTGTTGCTTTCCTCTCCCGTACCCTTTGTTGTTTGTGGGTTTATGCTTTGAATTCTTTTACAAAATTGTGAAATATTTTCAGCTTACAAAATATAATTTAACACACCCTTATGTGGATGGACATTTTTCATGCTTTTGGGGCACCTCGTCCTCTTGAACAAGCATTCTTTGGTGACTTCACCCTTTATGTATCCTGTCTTACCCAGTGGAGAGTAAAACTGAGTCTCTTAAGCTTTTCTTGCAATAAGAGCCCAGACAGGTGTCCTGGGCTCACTGGTTAGACACAGCTGTCTGAAATTTGAAAGCAGTACTGTGAAGACAGTGGCACGTGAGTTTCATTTTGTCCAGGGAAGCAGGGACGTGACTTTCAAGGTGGCGGCAACAACAGCGGCAGAGGTCTCATGCTGTGGAAGATGTTGGACTGAGCCCAGTAGTTTCCCCCTGCAGCTGCCCTGTGGTGTAACAGTGGGCATTTCTTTGGGTCCTGTAACCTGGTCTCAGCCTGAGCCTTGTGAACCATTTGTTTTTTGCTTAAATGAGTAGATCCTGTTGTTTGTAACCAAGAATGTTAACGTGTAGCCACTGCCCAAATTAACCATTGTTAATCTTTTCCCTTATCAGATCCTTTTGTTTTTAAATCAAGGAAAAGCTGCCTATCCATTGAAAATTTTCCTCATATTTCTTTTTAAGAAGAACTACTGTCCTTTTTGTGCATATCTTTACCATTCATGATTTGCAGTGTATAATATTCTTTGTATATTATACTGAACATAATTGGTTTCATGATATGCATGTTTTCTTGGAACTTGCTTCCATTGCCCAGCATTGTGTATTCACATTTAACGTGGTGATACATGTAGAGCTAGTGTGTGTGCTGAGCTGGTTAATGCATGAAGGTGTATATAGTATCCCATTGTATGATTAATCCCATGATTAATTCATTTTCTTATTGATGACCATTGAGGATGGTCTTGAGTTTCTAGTATTATAAACAGTACTGCAGAAAAGACTCTATTTATGTTTCTTTTTGTATACATTTGACAGTATCTGGGGTGGAACGTGCATCTTCAACTACTAAATATGTCAGCCACCACAGCAGTGGTACTAGTTTATTCCCTATCAGCAGTCTGATAGTTCCTGTTTTCCCACTCCCTCACAAACACTTGTCATTGTCAGGCAGTCAAATACTAGGTCAGTTGGATACACATGATCTAATTTAATACTGAGCATGTAGTGACAATGAACATCTCTTCATTTGTTTCATAGCCAGTCAGACTTATGTGAGTGTATCACTTTACAGACTTTATCTATTATTTATTTATTTTTATTGGATCCTTGATCCTTTTAATAGGAGTTTCTTTATATGTTCAGAAAGTTAAACCTTTGTTATTGCAAATCTCTTCTCTAGTCTGACTTACTTTGTTGATACTGTATCTTACATGGTCGGAATTACTCATCTTTTCCTTTATGATTTATATGCATTTTGGAAATTTTCAAAAAGCCTTTCCTAACTTGAAGTTAATAAGGCATTCTTATAAGAAAGTTATAAGGTATTTTTTAATATTTTAAAGGCTTTTCATATTGCATCATTTATTTGACATTTAATTTTGCATGCAGAGTGAGGGAAGGGATCTAATTTTGAATCCTTTCTTCCCCCACATGGGTCATGAGTTATTCTACATCATTATTTCCTCCCTCCTCTTCAGAGGTTACCACATAATATATCAGATTCCTTTACATGCCTGAGTCCTCACTGGTCTGTTCGTCTATCCCCATACTGCTCTCACACTTTTAATTATAACTTTGTAACATGTTTTGACTTATGGTGCGAATTCTTATTCCTGTTGGATCAGTTTGTCAACGTCTGAGTGACTAGTGTGATACAGATAATTCTACATGAGCTTCTTTAGGTTAGTGGTAAATACTTTTCATTCCTTTTAACTTTTTATATCATTATATTTTAGGTTTTTCTCTTTAAAAAAGCATATAGGAATCTTATTCCTCCTGTCTTAAATCCATTCTCCTACAGCAATTATGGATTTGACATTTTATATTTGTCTATTTTATTTAGAGATTGTTAGCACTGTGCATTCCAGTTTGGAATTTTTATAACTTGCTGGCAAATTGTTTCCTTTTTATCGCTAGATAAGGATCCTCTGTATCCCTAATAATGCTTTCTCCCCTTAATCTGGTTTCCTCAATCTATTTTTTCTTTAATCTGGTTCTATTTTCACATTACATTTTTGTTAGTGTTTACATAGTATTTTCTGTCCCTTTTCAGCTTTTTAAAAATGTTATGTTTTAAGTCCGTTTTTCGTAAATAGCATAAAATCATTGAACTTTCTTTTAAAATCCAGTCTTGGAGTGTCTTTTAAGAAGTATGTTTTAATTCATATACCTCTTCTTGTGGTTACTACTTTGCATTCTTTTCTCTCCTTTCTTCCCAAACACTGGATTTTGATCGAGTTTTCCTTCTTTTCCTCCTGTTTTATTTTATTTCTGACTGACTTTTACTGAAGGATAGCCGCTTCACAGAACTTTGCTGTCAGGCCTCAGCATGCATCAGCCGCCGGGACACACGTAGCCCCGAGCCTCCGTCCTGAGTGATACGGACTGTGCGGTCGTGAAAGGAAGGCATTAGAGTCAGTTCTGAGGAGGTGGATGAACCTCGGGCCGACCTCACACACTGAAGTGAGGCGGATAAGTGTCGCATTCTAATGCACACATACGGAATCTAGAAAAATGGTGCCGAAGAATTGATTTAGAGGGAAGCAATGGAGAAACAGACATAGAGAACAGACTCTTCTTCCTATTTTAGAATTTATGTATTCTGTTTCCATTCTTTCAGCCTATAGAATTATGTTTGTACTAAATTCCCATTTATGTTAAATAAAGGTATGCCATTGTTAAGTTAGAACCCTGTTGATGGTGGACTTTACATTTTTGCTTTTAAAATAATGCTTCAACTGATAACCTTGTACATATGATGCTCTACATGTGCTGATAGTTCTATAGTATAAATTCTTACAGGGGATCCTATAGGTCAAAGGGTTATGTGTATTTTAAGTTTTAATATAGGTAACTTTTGAAGATAAATTTATTCAGTTAGATTTTAGATTTGATAAATTTATTAAAGGTAAAATACTTATTTTTAGGGGAAGCTATTACTGCAGTGTTATTTCTAAGGGATCTTAAAGTTGGGTGTTATATCAGGCTTGCCTGGAGGGAGAAAAAGGGACAAATTTTCATATATATACTTTTAGTGATGGACTTTCTTAAAACAAATATGGAGACTGCCCTCTTGAGCTGCAGAATTTAGGAAGAGCCAAACTGATGCTTGAGTTGAGTCCATGCACGTTTATTGAAAAACAGTCCCTCAGGTCTTAGAATACAGATATGCCAGGTACAGACAGTCTCCAACATCAGAACAAGTTGTATTTCCAGAGTCAGTGGAGACTTGGATACGTTTCCCGATTCCACTTAAGCAACTGTGAGCAAGGCCCTGGGCTGAGTGGAATACAGAAAAGTTTACAGTGGTATTTCTTCCCTGC